CTCAAAGACACAGAAAATATATCCAACAAAATCATAAAAGAAAACTTTCCCAACCTATGGAAGGACATGCCTATGAAAATACATGAAGCATACAGAACACCAAATAGACTGGACCAAAAAAAAAAAGCCTCCTTACCCCTCACCACATAATCAAACACTAAACATAAATATACAGAATAATGAAAGAATTTTAAGAGCTGCAAACAAAAAAGGCCAAGTAACAAACAAAAGCAAACCTATAAAAATACACACGACAATAAATAAATAAATAAATAAATAAATAAAACACATCACATCTCAATGGAAAGAGGTCATGTACAAGTGTTATGTAGACACTAAAAGACCATGGATGCCAGCCAACACTACTCTACCCAGCAAAACTTTTGATCACCATAGATAGAGAAAACAAGATATTCCATGACAAAAACCTGACTTAAACAATGCCTATCCACAAATCCAGTCCTGCAGAAGTTAGCACAAAGAAGACTCCAACCCAAGGAAGTTAGCTACATCCACAAAAACACATGCAATAGATACTATTACAGCAGAAAATCCCAAAGAAGGGAAACACAAACAATGCCACCATCATTACAACGAAAACAAAAATAACAGGAAACAGTAATTAAGGGCTATTACTATCCCTTAATAACTAAAGGTTAGTAATATCCCCTAATAATTAAGGGTTATTAATATCCCTTAATAACTAAGGGTTATTTGATGGGGAAGCTCAGCCAATCACATCTGGCTAGGGTGTGGCCGCCTAGAGCACAGGTAGAAAAACAGAGGTTTTTTTCTAGGTGCACGAGCTCTCTACGTTGTGCTCTCTGGACCATTTCAGATTTCAGACCTCCCACTCTGGTAGCGTGAGTTTCCCCCTTTTTCAATTATTAAAAATATAACTGTTGTTCTTTAGCTGGTCTGGTTATTTATCGTACCGACCGATACGCCAACACTACAGTTATTCATATCTCTTCATATAAATGGACTCTCCCAGAGAACCTAGACAACAATGAGGACCCTAAGAGAGACATATATAGATCTAGTCTATATGGGAAGTAGAAAATGTCAAGATCTCCTGAGTAAATTGGGAGTTTGGGGACCTTGAGAGAGGGTTGGAAGGGAGGGGAGAGACAGGGAGGGGAGCAGAGAAAATGTATAGTACGATAAAAATCGACTAAAGGAAAAAAATTAATGGACTCAATTCATCACCTGTAAAAAGACACAGACTAACAGATTGGATACAAAAACAGAATCCATCCTTCTGCTGCATACAAAAAGCACACCTCAACATCAAAGATACACATGACCTCGCAGTAAAGGATTAGGGAAAAAATTCTCCAATCAAATGGACCTAAGAAACAAGCCGGTGTAACCATCCAAGTATCTACCAAAATAGACTTCAAACTAAAATCAATCAAAAGAAATGAAGAAGGACATTTCATATTCGTCACAGGAAAAAAAAATCCCTCAAAATGAAGTCTCAATTCTGAACATCTATTCCCCAAATGCAAGGGCACACACATTTGAAAAAAAAAAAACATTACTAAAGCTTAACTCATACATTAAGCCCCACACATTAATAGTGGGAGACTTAACATCCTACTCTCATGACTGGAAAGGACTGCCAGACAGAAACTTAACAGATGTAATGACTCAAATGAACGTAACAGACATTCCACCCAAACACAAAGAATTACTTTCTTCTCAGCACCTCATGGGACCTTCTCAAAAACTGACCACAAACTGAGTAACAAAGCAAACCTCAACAGATACAAAAGATTGGAATAACACCATGTATCTTATCAAATCACCATGTCTTAAAGTTAGAATTCAACAGCAACACTAATATCACAAACCCTACAAACACATGGCAATTGAACAATATTCATCTGAATCACACCTGGGTCAAGGAAAAAAATAAAGAAATTAAATAGTTCCTACTATTCAATGAAATGAGCGCACAGCATATGCCAAATTTATGTGACATAATGAAAGCAGTGCAAATAGGAAAGTTCATTGCACTAAATGCCTACATAAAGAATAATACCACACTGGAGAATTAACAGAACACCTAAAAGTTCTAAAACGAAAAGAAGCAAACTCACCCAGAAGAAGTAGATGTTGGGAAATAATCAAATTGAGGGCTTCCAAAATAGAACCACAGCAGCACAGACACTGAGAGAAACAATTAATAAATGGGACCTCCTAAAACTGAAAAGCTTCTGTAAAGCAAAGGACATGGTCAACAAATCAAAATGACAGCCTACAGAACTGGAAAAGATTTTCACTAACCACACATCAGACAGAGGTCTGATCTCCAAAATATACAAAGAACTCAAGAAATTGGACACCAAAAGATCAAATAATCCAATAAAAAAAAATGGAGTACAGACCTAAACAGAGAACTCTCAACAGAGGAATCTAAAATGACTGAAAGACACTTAAGGAAATGCTCAACATCCTTAGTCATCAGAGAAATGCAAACCAAAACAACTCTGAGATTCCATCTTACACCTGTAAGAATGGCCAAGATCAAAAACACTGATGACAACGTATGCTGGAGAAGTTGTGGGGAAAAGGGAACACTCCTGCATTGCTGGTGGGAAAGCAAGCTGGTTTGGATGTCAGTGTGGCGATTTCTCAGAAAATTAGAAAACAACCTTTCTCAAGACTCAGTAATACCACTTTTGGGTATATACCCAAAGGATGCTCAATCATGCCACAAGGACATGTGCTCAACTATGTTCATAGCAGCTTTGTTTGTCATAGCCAGAACCTGGAAACAACCTAAATGTCCCTCGATTGAAGAATGAATAAAAAAAAAAGTGGTACATTTACACAATAGAGTACTACACAGCAGAAAAAATAACGACAGCTTGATTTTGCAGGAAAATGGATGGAGCTAGAAAACATTATTTTGAGTAAGGTAACCCAGACACAGAAAGACAATTACCACATGTATTTACTCATAGGTGGTTTTTAACATAAAGCAAAGAAATCCAGCCTACAAAGAAACCACAATCCCAGAGAACTTAGACAACAATGCAAACACTAAGAGAGACTTACATAGACCTAATCTACATGAGAAGTAGAAAGTGTAAAAAGACAAGACCTCCTGAGTAAATTGGGAGCATGGGGACCTTGAGGGAAGATTGAAGGGGGAGGGGAGAGGCAGGGAAGGGAGCAGAGAAAAATGTAGAGCTTAATAAATATCAATAAAAAAAGAAAGAAAATGAAGAATATCAGAAAATGGAAAGATCTCCCATGCTCATGGATAGGTAGGATTAACATAGTAAAAAAATAACAGTCTTATCAAAAGCAATCCATAGATTGAATGCAGTACTTATCAAAATCCCAGCATAATTCTTCACAGACCTTAAAAGAAAATACTAAAGTCCATATGGAGAAACAAAAAACTGAGGATAGCCAAAACAACTCTGTACAGTAAAGGAACATCTGGAGGTATCACCATCCTGTAGGCCTAAATTTCTACATGGTGTGGTAGCCAGGCTATCAAGCCATATTTAGTACCTGAAGTACCATTCAGCGTTTCATCAACACCATTTAAGTGTTTTGTGGCAGGACCTCTTAAAAGAGCTGCAGGGTTTTGCAGCTAATGCTGAGTCAGGAAGCCTCTCTTAAATGAGATCGCTTGCCTCTAGCAAGCAGAGTCCATCTGAGAAAATGCTGCTATCAATAAGCCATGCTTAACTAGGTTCTTTTGTGTCTAGAATAACTTCCCAGGCTCTCTCAGGCTTTATGTGGATGCAGTTATCCACGTGGGTGCCATTCTGTGGACTGAGGTTTCTGTCCTGCCTGGTTCCCGCAATCGTTAAATCCCAAAGAAATCACACAGAGGTCTACATTAGTTATAAACTGATTGGCCTAGTAGCTCAGACATCTTATTAACTCTTACAACTTATGTTAGCCCATTATTCTTGTCTATGTTAGCCATGTGGCTCTCAGTACCTTATTAGACAAGGCAGTTACATGTTTTTTATTATTATTATTTTTTTTTACTTATTTTTTTATTGGAAAAAAAATTCTGCCTCCTCCCAGCCTCCCGTTTCCCTCCCCCTCCTCCTGCCCTTCTCCCCTCCTCCCACTCCTCTCCCCCTCCCTCTCCAGTCCGAAGAGCAGTCAGGGTTCCCTGCCCTGTGGAAAGTCCAAGGTCCTCCCCCCTACATCCAGGTCTAGGAAGGTGAACATCTTAAGTAGCCATTTGGGGCTTTCTGAAGAATAATCTAATGTGGCATACTTTTGGTTTTGAATGCAAGCCAAAGTAACAAATAGCTAGAGAGAAGGGAAGAAAGTAGATGGCATGGCAAAGTGTCTAGGCGGAAATCTACCGGGGAGGCTGCTTTAAAGCATCCAGATGAAGTGAGTGCCCAGTAGAGTTCTGGCCATAGTGTCCATCAGATGAGATTCCAAGCCAAAAAAAAAATGCTGAGATAATGTCATCAGATCTACTGCTCACAAAATCCAATGAAACTGACTGGGGAAACTGAGGCAGTCAGCTGAAGGTTCCATGGCTGAAGTTCCAGGTTCTCATTTCTAAGGTAGACACTTTTATATGGTGAGATAAACAATACTAACTGTTGGAAATAGAGTACCTTCCAGCAGATTCCATGGTGTTTTCACTCTTGGTCTGTTTTGCTGTTCTCATTCCTCCCTATATAGAGTTAGGGAGTTTTTTGGGGGGTAGCCCATGCCCAGATAAAGGACTGGGGAGGATACTGAGATACATGTGCTTGGCTCTGAAATAGGAGGTGGAGAGCCAACTTCTAAAGGTACTCAGAAAACACATATACATGACTTACCGACATAACATACAGTACACTTCCTGGGTTTGACAGACGTGAAAAGCAGACAGAGCTGCAGTGTGAACTCAGGAGTCTGGATAGGAGTCCGTCCCTTCATGGTCTTGACACTTTGCATAAATGAATGTGCATCCGCATTGGCTGCCAAAGGCCTCTGGCAGTCCAAGACTCAGAAAGCTCTTGACTTTCTTCTAGATCTTTACAACTCTTGCTGGAAAATGCCCAAAGTCAAAAGAAGCCGGAAAGCTCCTCCAGATGGTTGGGAATTGATCGAACCAACACTGGATGAACTAGATCAAAAGATGAGAGAAGGTAAGTGGTAGTGTCCTAACTGGGTAGGTTGGATGTAGGAGGCTCAGGTGCCTCCAACGATAGACAGGCAACTGGGAGATGAGGCGCATTGCCAACTGGTCAAGTTCTGTTTACTTATCGACTCAGAATGCTCGAAAGTTCTGAAAAGGGATTATTAGTGTGCATATTTCTGAGAGAAAGATCGGGTGTCTTTTTCACTTTAAGTGTTGTCTTGGAGACAGGGTCTCACTGTATAAATTTTTTTCATTACTTTTGACACAGTGTTTCTACATAGATCAGTAGATCAGGCTGGCCCCGAGCTCATAGAGAGCTGTCTGCCTGTGCCTCCCTAGCACAGAAATTAAAGGTATAGCAAATGCCCAGCTTCCTCGCTCGCTCTCTCTCTCTTTTTCTCTCCTTCCTTCCTTTCTTTTTTTCTTTTAAGATTTATTTTACATTGGGGGGAAGAGGGTATATGCATGGGAGTACAGGAGGCTGGAAGAGAGTGTCAGATCCCCTAAAGCTGGTGATACAGGTAGTTGTAGCTACCCTGACGTGGGTACTGGGAATAGCCCCATTATAAAGCATCTTCTACCCCCCCCCCCCCACACCTTTTGAGATTCCTTGTAGTGGCCTGGGGCTTTGGAAATCTTTGTCCCTGGGTCCTTGCACCATGTAGCAGTTTCTGCACCACAACCCCACTGTGGAATCCTGGCAGTCAGCTTGTCTGTGGACATTTGATCTGACCTCAAGTATATGCTACCCTTTGGTGAGCACAGCTTGTCCTAGTTTGGTTGTGTTACTGTGATAAAAACACCCTGACCAAAAGCAACAAAGAGAAGGAAAGGGTTTATTTCGTTTACAATTCCAGGTTAGAGATCAGACTTACACCTGACTTCTCTATGGAAACTATGAAAGCCAGAAGGTCCTGGATAAAGGTTCTGCAGAAGCTAAGAGACCATGGATGCAAACCCAAACTACTATACCCAGCCAAGCTATCGTTCATTATCAATGGAGAAAACAAGACATTCCAGGATAAGAACAAATTTAAACAATACGTAGCCACAAATCCAGCCCTACAGAAAGTAATAGAAGGAAAATCGCAACCCAAGGAATCCAACACTGCCAACACTGCCTACAATAACCCAGGCATCTAATGACCCTTCACCAGCACATCTCAAAGAAGGGAGACACACAATCTCTACTACCAAAAGCAATAAGAATAACCGGAGTAAACAACCACTGGTCATTAATATCACTTAATATTAATGGGCTCAATTCACCTATAAAAAGGCACAGGCTAAAAGATTGGATATGAAAACAGGATCCAACATTCTGCTGTTTGCAAGAAACACATCTCAACCACAAAGAGAGGCACCTACTCAGAGTAAAGGGTTGGGAAAAGGTGTTTCAAGCAAATGGTCCTAAGAAAAAAGCAGTTCTGGCCATACTAATTTCTAACAAAACTGACTTCAAACTAAAATCAATCAGAAGAGACCGAGATGGTCACTTTATACTCATAACAGGAACAATTCATCAGGATGACGTCTCAATACTGAATATCTATGCCCCCGATATAAAAGCACCTACTTATGTAAAAGAAATATTACTAGAACTCAAGGCAGACATCAAACCACACACACTAGTAGTAGGAGACTTCAACACACCTCTCTCTACAAGGGACAGGTCAATCAGGCAGAAACCTAATAGAGAATAAAGAGAATTATTGGAGGTAATGAAGCAAATGGACTTAACAGACATCTATAGAACATTCCACCCAAATAGGAAAGAATATACCTTCTTATCTGCAGCTCATGGAACCTTCTCAAAAATTGACCACATACTCGGAAACAAAGGAAGCCTCCACAGATACAAAAAAAATCAGTGTCCACCTGTGTCTTATCAGCTCATCACGGATTAAAGTTAGAAGGCAACAACCACGTTGCCCCCAAAAAACCGACAAACTCATGGAAACTGAACAGTCAACTACTGAACCACACCTGGGTCAAGGAAGAAATCAAGAAAGAAATTAAAGTCTTCCTTGAATTTAATGAAAATAAAGGGACAACATATTCAAACCTATGGGACACAATGAAAGCAGTGCTAAGAGGAAAGTTCATAGCACTAAGTGCCCACTTAAAGAAAACGGAGAATGCATACATTGGGGACTTAACAACACACCTGAAAGCTCTAGAAAAAAAAGAAGCAGACGCGCCCAGCAGAAGTAGAAGACTGGAAATAATAAAACTGAGGGCTGAAATCAACAAAATAGAAACACAGAAAACAGTCCAAAGAATCAATGAAACAAAAAGCTGGTTCTTGGAGAAAATCAACAAGATCGACAAACCCCTATCCAAACTAATTAAACGGCAGAGAGAGAACACGCAAATAAATAAGATCAGAAATAAAAAGGGGGACATAACCACAGACACAGAGGAAATTCAGAGAATCATTAGATCTTACTACAAAAGCCTGTATGCCACAAAACTGGAAAATACAAAAGAAATGGACATTTTTTTAAATAAGTACCATATACCAAAGCTAAACCAAGACCAGGTGAATGATCTAAATAGACCGGTTACTCGCGAAGAATTAGAAATGGTTATCAAAAATCTCCCTTCGAAAAAAAGCCCCGGACCAGAGGGTTTCAATGCAGAATTCTACCAGAACTTCCAAGAAGAACTAATACCTATACTCCTTAATGTATTTCACAATATAGAAACAGAAGAGTCATTGCCAAATTCCTTTTATGAAGCTACAGTTACCCTGATACCAAAACCACACAAAGACCCAACCAAGAAAGAGAATTACAGACCTATCTCACTCATGAACATCGACGCAAAAATTCTCAATAAAATACTGGCAAACCGAATCCAAGAACACATAAGAAAAATTATCCATTATGATCAAGTAGGCTTCATCCCAGAGATGCAGGGATGGTTCAACATACGCAAATCTATCAATATGATCCACCATATAAATAAACTGAAAGAAAAAAACCATATGATCATTTCATTAGATGCTGAAAAAGCATTCGACAAAATTCAACACCCCTTTATGATAAAGGTCTTGGAGAGAATAGGGATACAAGGGTCCTACCTAAATATAATAAAAGCTATTTACAGCAAGCCATCAGCTAACATTAAATTAAATGGAGAAAAACTCAAAGCCATCCCACTAAAATCAGGAACACGACAAGGATGTCCACTCTCTCCATACCTCTTCAACATAGTGCTTGAAGTTCTAGCAATAGCAATAAGACAACATAAGGAGATCAAGGGGATTCGTATTGGAAAGGAAGAAGTTAAGCTTTCGTTATTTGCAGATGATATGATAGTATACATAAGCAACCCCAAAAATTCTACCAAAGAACTCCTACAGCTGATAAACACCTTTAGTAATGTGGCAGGATACAAGATCAACTCCAAAACATCAATTGCCTTCCTATACACTAAGGATAAGGAAGCAGAGAGGGAAATCAGAGAAGCATCACCTTTCACGATAGCCACAAATAGCATAAAATATCTTGGGGTAACTCTGACCAAGGAAGTGAAAGATCTATTTGACAAGAACTATAAGTCTTTGAAGAAAGAAATTGAAGAAGACACCAGAAAATGGAAAGACCTCCCTTGCTCTTGGATTGGGAGGATCAACATAGTAAAAATGGCAATTCTACCAAAAGCAATCTATAGATTCAATGCAATCCCCATCAAAATCCCATCAAAATTCTTCACAGATCTGGAGAAGACAATAATCAACTTTATATGGAAAAATAAAAAACCCAGGATAGGCAAAACAATCTTATACAATAAAGGATTGTCTGGAGGCATTACCATCCCTGACTTCAAACTCTATTACAGAGCTACAGTATTGAAAACAGCTTGGTATTGGCATAAAAACAGAGAAGTCGACCAATGGAATCAAATAGAAGACCCTGACTTTAACCCACAAACCTATGAACACCTGATTTTCGATAAAGGAGCTAAAAGTATACAATGGAAAAAAGAGAGCATCTTCAACAAATTGTGCTGGCAAAACTGGGTGTCAATCTGTAGAAGAATGAAAATAGATCCATATCTATCACCATGCACAAAACTCAAGTCCAAATGGATTAAAGACCTCAATATCAGTCCGAACACACTGAACCTGATAGAAGAGAAAGTGGGAAGTACTCTACAGCACATGGGCACAGGAGACCACTTCCTACGTATAACCCCAGCAGCACAGACACGAAGGGCATCATTGAATAAATGGGACCTCCTGAGGCTGAGAAGATTCTGTAAAGCAAAGGACACTGTCACTAAGACAAAAAGGCAACCCACTGACTGGGAGAAGATCTTCACCAACCCCGCAACTGACAAAGGTCTGATCTCCAAAATATATAAAGAACTCAAGAAACTAGACCGCAAAAGGCTAATCAACCCAATTATAAAATGGGGCACTGAGCTGAAAGAGAATTCTCAACAGAAGAAGTTCAAATGGCCAAAAGACACTTAAGGTCATGCTCAACTTCCTTAGCGATCAGGGAAATGCAAATCAAGACAACTTTAAGATACCACCTTACACCTGTCAGAATGGCTAAAATAAAAAACACCAATGATAGCCTTTGCTGGAGAGGCTGTGGAGAAAGGGGTACACTCACCCATTGCTGGTTGGAATGCAAACTTGTGCAACCACTCTGGAAAGCAGTGTTTCGTTTTCTCAGGAAATTCGGGATCAACCTACCCCCTGGATCCAGCAATACCACTCTTGGGAATATACCCAAGAGAGGCCCGATCATATGACAAAAGTATATGCTCAACTATGTTCATAGCAGCATTGTTTGTAATAGCCAGAACCTGGAAACAACTTAGATGCCCTTCAACGGAAGAATGGATGAAGAAAGTATGGAATATATACATATTAGAGTATTACTCAGCAGTAAAAAACAAGGACTTCTTGAATTTTGGATACAAATGGATGGAAATAGAAAACACTATCCTGAGTGAGGTAAGCCAGACCCAAAAAGAGGAACATGGGATGTACTCACTCATATTTGGTTTCTAGCCATAAATAAGGGACATTGAGCTTATAATTCATGTTCCTAGAGAAGCTAAATAAGAAGGTGAATCCAAAGACAAACACATAGGCATCTTCATGAATATTAACCTTCATCAGGCGATGAAAGGAGATAGAGACAGAGACCCACATGGGAGCACTGGACAGAAATCTCAAGGTCCAAATCAGGAGCAGAAGGAGACGGAGCACGAGCAAGGAACTCAGGACCACGAGGGGTGCACCCACACACTAAGACAATGGGGATGTTCTATTGGGAACTCACCAAGGCCAGCTGGCCTAGGTCTGAAAAAGACTGGGATAAATCCGGACTAGCTGAACATAGCGGACAATGAGGAATACTGAGAACTCAAGAACAATTGCAGTGGGTTTTTGATCCTACTGCACGTACTGGCTTTGTGGGAGCCTAGGCAGTTTGGATGCTCACCTTACGAGACCTGGATAGAGGTGGGCAGTCCTTGGGCTTCCCACAGTGCAGGGAACCCTGATTGCTCTTCGAGCAGATGAGGGAGGGGGACTTGATCGGGGGAGGGGGAGAGAAATGGGAAGCGGTTGCAGGGACGAGGCAGAAATCCTTAATAAATAAATAAATTAAAAAAAATAAAAGAAAATGGCCCCCAAAGGATGAGGCGTTAAAAAAAAAAAAAAACAATTCCAGGTTAGAGTCTATCATTGAGGGGATGTCAAGACTGGAACTAAAACACACACACCCATAGTCAAGAGCAGAGGACAGGGCTGGAGAAATAACTCAGTGATTGAGTACATGCAGCTCTTGCTAAGGACCCAGGTTCATTTCCCAACACCCACACATCTGCTCATGTGTTTATAACTCCGTTTACAGGGATCTAGCACCTCTTCTGACATCTATGGGCACTGGGGACATACAAACACTCATATATAAATTATCTAAGAAACTTTTTTTTAAAAAGTGGTATGCAGGAGGGGAGGGTTCAATGAGGAGCAGAAGGAGGGAGAACATGAGCAAAGAAGTCAGGACCACGAGGGGAGCACCCACCCACTGAGACAGTGGAGCTGATCTATTGGGAGCTCACCAAGGCCAGCTGGACTGTGACTGAAAAAGCATGTGATAAAACTTGACTCTCTGAGCATGGTGAACAATGAGGGCTGATGAGAACCCAAGGACAATGGCACGGGGTTTTGAACCTACATAATGTGCTGGCTTTGTGGGAGCCTAGCCAGTTTGGATGTTCACCTTCCTAGAATGGATGAAGGGGGGAGGACCTAGGACTTACCACAGGGCAGGGAACCCTGACTGCTCTTTGGACTGGAGAGGGAGGGGGAGAGGAGTGGGGGGAGGAGGAGAAGGGTGGGAGGAGGGGGAGAAGGGTGGGAGGAGGGGGAGGGAAATGGGAGGCTGGGAGGAGGAGGAAACTTTTTTTTTTCTCCTTTTCTCAATAAAAAAAAAGTGGTAAATGCACACATGGTGCTTGCTTACACAGAAGTTCAACTAGCTTTCTTCACTCTCAGACGTTCAGGATACACACACACACCAAGAATGGTGCCTCTATTCAGAGTAGATCTATCTCAGTTAGGCTAACTTGATCTAGCTCATTACTCAAATAAGGCCCCCTTAGGTGATTCTAAGTCTGCCAAGATGAATAAAAGACATCTTGCTGTAGGACTACTTGCTTGTTATTTGTGTGGTGTGAGAGTGGCTTTTGCACAAACGTGTACTACAGAGCATGGTAGAGGTTAGAGGACAACTTAGCGGAGTCAGTTCTCTCCACCCTGAGGATTCCAGCGATCAGCCTCATAGTAGTTTTTATCCCACCACCCTGAATTGCTATTTCATGTTTTTCTTCATGTGTACCATGTTTATGCCTAGTGTTTGCAAAGGCTGAAAGAGGAACGCTGGATCCCTGGAACTGGAGTTACAACATAAGCTGCCACCTGGGTGCTAGGAATTGAACCTGGGTTCTCTGCAAAAACAGCCAGTGCTCTTGACCACTGAGCCACCTTTCCAGCCCCCTTCAGATTGCTATTTAAAACAATCTTTGAAATACCTGTTTACAGCTGATCTGATCATTGCTATTGAGGTTATACCTATAGCAATAATTTCTAAGCCGCTGTTAACTTTGCTTTCTCTTTTCACAGCTGGTTGTGCCAGTTTCTGTTCAGTACTCAGAACTTGTAGTAGTCAAGCTTGCTATGTATGGGTCAAGAGATTTCTTGACACAACTCTGAAAGTAAAGGAAATTAGAGTGGGTGAAAAAGAGTCTGTATTCATCCTGCTTCAGTGTGTTCCTAAACTCATGGTAACTCTAGACATTCCCTAGCCCATTCTGCATTCTGCTAGAAGGGCTTGAGGATTTCAGTTTTGTCCACTCTTGTCATTGTCCGTTGTTTTCATTACTATCCCCACGGGTATAAAATAATCATAACTATAGTTAAGGAAGCAAACATGCTGCGTGCCATGCAGACTGACTGTCTCCTAAAATATATACATGCTTTCTTCTCTCCAGCTGAAACTGAACCCCATGAGGGAAAGAGAAAAGTGGAATCTCTGTGGCCCATTTTCAGAATCCATCACCAGAACACGCGATATATATTTGACCTGTTTTATAAGCGGAAAGCCATTAGTAGAAGTAAATGTGACTGGCTAAATACCTTGGCCTTTAAAAAGCTATTGTTACTCTGTTCATAAACCTATGGAGGCAAGTGCATCCCAAGGATTCAGCGTGGAGGATGTGGACAATCTTCAGGAACTGGTTCTCTCTTTTTGCCATGTGGGCCTGGGGGATTGAACTCAGGTCGTTAGGCCTGTATGAAAAGCATTCTTGGCCTCTGAGGAAACTTGCTGACCTTTTGTATTTGAATAGTTTTGAGATATATATATATATAGTGGTTCATAAAAAGGCCTTTAATCCCAGCAGTTTGGGAGGCAGAGGCAGGTGGTTGTCTGAATTCAAGGCTAGCTAGATCTACGTAGCAAATTGTAGGACAGCGAGGGGCTGCACAGAAAACCCTATCACAAAACAGGTGAAAAAGCTGAGTGCTGAGACCCATAGTTTCAGCACTTGGAAAGCCGAAGCAGGAAACTGTTAGGACTCCAGGGAAGCCTTGACTGTTGTGCAAGATTCTGACTCCAAAAACAAAACTAAAGACAATGGTTCTATTTTTGCAAACCCAGCAAGGATCAGTTTACTGATGGAGAAATTTTGTATGTTTTCTTTCTTTTTTTTTTTTATTGAGAAAAGGAGAAAAAAAAAAGTTTCCACCTCCTCCCAGCCTCCCATTTCCCTCTCCCTCCTCCCCCCCTACGCCCCCTCCTCCCACCCTTCTCCCCCTCCCCCCACTCCTTTCCCCCTCCCTCTCCAGTCCAAAGAGCAGTCAGGGTTTTCTGCCCTGTGGTAAGACCTAGGACCTCCCACCTCCGTCCATATCTAGGAAGGTGAACATCCAAACTGGCTAGGCTCCCACAAAGCCATCACATTATGTAGGATCAAACCCCCGTGCCATTGTCCTTTGCGTCTCATCAGCCCTCATAGTTCGCCATGTTCAGAGAGTCCAGTTTTATCCCATGCTTTTTCAGTCACAGTCCAGCTGGTCTTGGTGAGCTCTCAATAGATCAGCTCCACTGTCTCAGTGGGTGGGTGCATCCCTCGTGGTCCCTACTTCTTTGCTCATGTTCTCCCTCCTTCTGCTCCTCATTGGGACTTTGGGAGCTCAGTCCAGTGCTCCAGTGTGGGTCTCTGTCTCTATCTCCATCCATCACCAGATGAAGGTTCTATGATGATATGCAAGATATTCGTCAGTATTGCTCAAGGATAGGGTCATTTCAGGTTCCCTATTCTCAACTGCCCAAGGAACTAACTGGGGACCTCAGCTTGGGCACCTGGGAGCCCCTCTAGGGTCAGGTCTCTTGCCAACCCTAAAGTGGTTCCCTTAACTAAGAATTGTGGTTCCGTGCTCCCCTGTCCAACCTTCCTTTATCCCAATCCTCCTGCTTACCCAAGGCCCGACCTCCTTCCCTTCTAACTTTTCTCTCCCCATCTCCCCTTACCCCCAACCCACCCCACCCCAAGATCCCAATTTTCTCCCCGGCAATTTTGTCTACTTCCCTTAGCCAAGAGGATAACTATATGTTTTTCCTTGGGTTCCCCTTCTTACTTAGCTTCTTTAGATTCACCTATTGTAGACTCTGTGACACTTATTTATGGCTAGAAACCAATTATGAGTGAGTACATCCCATGTTCATCTTTTTGGGTCTGGGATACCTCACTCAGGATAGTGTTTTCTATTTCCATCCATTTGCATGCAAAATTCGAGAAGTCATTGTTTTTTACCGCTGAGTAGTACTCTAATGTGTAGATATTCCATACTTTCTTCATCCATTCTTCCATTGAAGGGCATCTAGGTTGTTTCCAGGTTCTGGCTATTACAAATAATACTGCTATGAACATAGTTGAACAAATGCTTTTGTCATATGATAGGGCATTTCTTGGGTATATTCCCAAGAGTGGTATTGCTGGGTCCAGGGGTAGGTTGATCCCGAATTTCCTAAGAAACCGAAACACTGACTTCCATAGTGGTTGCACAAGATTGCATTCCCACCAGCAATGGATGAGGGTACCCCTTCCTCCACAACCTCTCCAGCAAAGGTTATCGTTGGTGTTTTTGACTTTAGCCATTCTCACAGGTGTAAGATGATATCTCAAAGTTGTTTTGATTTGCATTTCCCTGATTGCTAAGGAAGTTGAGCATGACCTTAAGTGTCTTTTGGCCATTTGAACTTCTTCTGTTGAGAATTCTCTGTTCAGATCAGTGCCCCATTTTTTAATTGGGTTAATTAGCATTTTAAAGTCTAGTTTCTTGAGTTCTCAATATATTTTGGAGATCAGACCTTTGTCTGTTGCGGGGTTGGTGAAGATCTTCTCCCAGTCAGTAGGTTGCCTTTGTGTCTTAGTGACAGTGTCCTTTGCTTTGCAAAAGCTTCTCAGTTTTAGTAGGTCCCATTTATTCAATGTTGCTCTTAATGTCTGTGCTTCTGGGGTTATACATATGAAGCGATCTCCTGTGCCCATCTGTTGTAGGGTATTTCCCACTTTCTCTTCTATCCTTTTCAGTGTGTTCGGGCTGATATTGAGGTCTTTAATCCATTTGGACTTGAGTTTTGTGCACGGTGAAAGATGTGGGTCTATTTTCATTCTTCTACAGGTTGACATCCAGTTGTGCCAGCACCATTTGTTGAAGATTCTTTCTTTCTTCCATTGTATACTTTTAGCTCCTTTATCAAAAATGAGGTGTTCATAGGTTTGTGGGTTAAAATCCGGGTCTTCTATACAATTCCATTGGTCGACTTCTCTGTTTTTATGCCAGTACCACACTGTTTTCATTACTGTAGCTCTGTAATAGAGTTTGAAGTCAGGGATGGTAATGCCTCCAGAAGATCCTTTATTGTATAGGATTGTTTTGGCTATCCTGGGTTTTTTGTTTTTCCATATAAAGTTGATTATTGTCCTCTCCAGATCTGTGAAGAATTTTGATGGGATCTTGATGGGGATTGCATTGAATCTATAAATTGCCTTAGGTAGAATTGCCATTTTTACTATGTTGATCCTCCCAATCCAAGAGCAAGGTAGATCCATCCATTTTTTTGGTATCCTCTTCAATTTCTTTCTTCAATGCCTTAAAGTTCTTGTCAAATAGATCTTTCACTTCCTTGGTTAGATTTACCCAAAGATATTTTATGCTGTTTGTGGCTATCGTGAATGGTGAAGCTTCTCTGATTTCCCTCTCTGCTTCCCTATCCTTTGTGTATAAGAGGGCGACTGATTTTTTGGAGTTGATCTTGTATCCTGCCACATTACTAAAGCTGTTTATCAGCTGTAAAAGTTCTTTGGTGGAGTTTTGGGGGTCGCTTAAGTACACTATCATATCATCTGCGAATAACGAAAGTTTAACTTCTTCCTTTCCAATTCGAATCCCCTTGATCCCATTATGTTGTCTTATTGCTATTGCTAGAACTTCAAGTACTATATTGAAGAGGTATGGAGAGAGTGGACATCCTTGTCGTGTTCCTGAGTTAAGCGGGATGGCTTTGAGTTTCTCTCCGTTTAATTTGATGTTAGCTGTCGGCTTGCTGTATATAGCTTTTATTATATTTAGGTATGACCCTTGTATCCCTAATCTCTCCAAGACTTTTAACATAAATGGATGTTGAATTTTGTCGAATGCTTTTTCAGCATCTAATGAGATGATCATATGGTTATTTTCCTTCAGTTTATTTATATGCTGGATTACATTGATAGATTTTCGTATGTTGAACCAGCCCTGCATCTCAGGAATGAAGCCTACTTGATCATAATGGATAATTTTCCTAATGTGTTCTTGGATTCGGTTTGCCAGTATTTTGTTGAGGATTTTTGCGTCGATGTTCATGAGTGAGATTGGCCTGTAATTCTCTTTCCTGGTTGAGTCTTTGTGTGGTTTTGGTATCAGAGTAACTGTAGCTTCATGAAAGGAATTAGGTAATGACCCTTCTGTTTCTATATTGTGGAATACATTAAGGAGTATGGGTATTAGCTCTTCTTGGAAGTTCTGGTAGAATTCCGCATTGAAACCATCCGGTCCTGGGCTTTTTTTGGTAGGGAGGTTTTTGATAACAGCTTCTAATTCTTCGTGACCAACAGGTCTGTTTAGATTGTTCACCTGATCCTGGTGTGACTTTGGTATATGGTATTTATCTTAAAAAGTGTCCATTTCTTTTACATTTTCCAGTTTTGTGTTATACAGGCTTTTGTAATATGATCTGGTGATTCTCTGAATTTCCTCTGTGTCTGTGGTTATGTCCCCCTTTTCATTTCTGATCTTATTAATTTGCGTATTCTCTCTCTGCCATTTGATTAGTTTAGATAGGGGTTTATCAATCTTGTTGATTTTCTCCAGGAACCAGCTTTTTGTTTCATTGATTCTTTGGATTGTTTTCTGTGTTTCTATTTTGTTGATTTCAGCCCTCAGTTTGATTATTTCCAATCTTCTACTCCTCCTAGGTGAGTCTGCTTCTTTTTTTTCTAGAGTTTTCAGGTGGGCTGTTAAGTCTTCAATATGTGCTTTCTTTGTTTTCTTTAAGTGGGCACTTAGTGCGATGAACTTTCCTCTTAGGACTGCTTTCATAGTGTCCCATATGTTCGAGTATGTTGTTTCTTTATTTTCATTGAATTCAAGGAAGACTTTAATTTCTTTCTTTATTTCTTCCTTAATCCAGGTATGGTTCAGAAGTTGACTGTTCAGTTTCCATGAGTTTGTAGGCTTTCTGGGGGTAGCATTGTTGTTGAATTCTAACTTTAATCCATGGTGATCTGATAAGACACAGGTGGTTACTAATATTTTTTTGTAACTGTGTTAGTTAGCTTTGTTACCGAGTATGTGGTCAATTTTCGAGAAGGTTCCATGAGCTGCAGAGAAGAAGGTATATTCTTTCCTCTTCGGGTGGAATAATCTATAGATATCTGTTAAGTCCATTTGCTTCATTACCTCCATTAATTCTCTAATTTCTCTGTTAGGTTTCTGTTTGCTTGACCTGTCCAATGGTGAGAGAGGAGTGTTGAAGTCTCCTACTATTAGTGTGTGTGGTTTGATGGCTGCCTTGAGTTTTAGTAATGTTTCTTTTACATACGTGGGCGCTTTTATATTCGGGGCATAGATATTCAGGATTGAGACTTCATCCTGATGAATTGTTCCTGTTATGAGTATAAAATGTCCCTCTCCATCTCTTCTGATTGATTTGAGTTTGAAGTCAACTTTGTTAGAAATTAGTATGGCCACACCTGCTTGTTTCTTAGGACCATTTGCTTGATAAGCCTTTTCCCAGCCCTTTACTCTGAGTAGGTGCCTGTCTTTGTGGTTGAGGTGTGTTTCTTGTAGAGAGCAGAACGTGGGATCCTGTTTTCGTATCCAATCCCTTAGCCTGTGCCTTTTTATAGGTGAGTTGAGCCCATTGACATTAAGTGATATTAATGACCAGTGGTTGTTAACTCCGGTCACTTTTTTAGTAGTAGGGTTTGTGTGTTTCCCTTCTTTGAGTTGCGCTGGTGGAAGGTCTCTAGATGACTGAGTTATTGTGGGCATTGTTGGACTCCTTGGTTAGTGATTTTCCTTCTATAATTTTCTGTAAGGCTGGATTTGTGGCTACGTATTGTTTGAATTTGTTTTTATCCTGGAAAATTTTGTTTTCTCCATTTATAGTGAACGAAAGCTTGGCTGGATATAGTAGTCTGGGCTTGCATGCATGATCTCTTAGTTTTTGCAGTACATCTATCCAGGACCTTCTGGCTTTCATGGTTTCCATAGAGAAGTCAGGTGTAAGTCTGATAGGTTTACCTTTATAAGTAACTTGGCCTTTTTCCTTTGCGGCTCTTAATATTCTTTCTTTATTCTGTGTATTTTGTGTTTTGATTATTATATGGCGAGGGGATGTTTTTTTTTTTTGATCCAGCCTATTTGGTGTTCTGTATGCTTCTTGAACCTTCATAGGTACCTCTTTCTTCAGGTTGGGAAAGTTTTCTTCTATAATTTTATTAAGTATATTTTCTGTACCGTTGAGCTGCACTTCTTCTCCTTCTTCTACTCCAATTATTCTTAGGTTTGGTCTTTTTATTGTGTCCCAAATTTCCTGAATGTTTTGATGAGAATTTGTTGGTTTTGCTGTTTTCTTTGATCAGTGTGTTTATTTTTTTCTATGGTATCTTCAGTGTCTGATATTCTCTCTTCTATCTCTTGTAATCTGTTGTTAGTACTTGTTTCTGTCATTCCTGTTCGTTTACACAGATTTTCCATCTCCATTCTTCCCTCGGTTTGTGCTTTCTTCATTGCTTCCATTTCATTCTTCATGTCTTGAACCGCTTCCCAAACCTGTTTGATTGCTTTTTCTTATTTCTCTTGGTTTTCTTGCGTGTCTTTGAGCGATTTATTCATTTCCTCTACCTTTTTGTTTGTAATCTCTAATTGTTTACGGCAGTTTTTCACCTCCTGTTTAAGGTCCTCTATTATTTTCATATAGTTCACTTTTGAGTCGATTTCTTCTATTTCTTCAGGAGTAGGGTGTACAATTCTTCTTATTTCGGGATCCCTGGTTTCTGGTGGTGTCATGTTGCCTTTCAGATTGTTGGAGGAATTCTTGTATTGGCGCCTTCCCATCTCTTCCTTCAAATGGAGCCAGGAGAGGCCTGGTCTCTTGGTCCAGACTTTGCTGTGATTGACTCTCAGGGTATATCTCTTCAGTGTAGAAGCAGGAACCGTTCCCGTCCAGATGGGATTCCTCCGAAACCGTCCTGATGGGATTCCTCAGCAACTAAACAGGGCCGCCGGTAGCCCAATGATCCAGGGCCAACAGGATGAATGGAGCAAGTGGGGGGGGGGGGGTGGTATCCAGGAGCACGCAGGAAGCCTGGCGCCGGAGCTGGAGGTGCCCGGCTCCCTTACAGGGGACCCTGAGGCCTGCCCGGCTGGCAGGCACTCACCGCTCTGGGTGGGTCGCCTTAGTTTAGGAGCTTAAGACTGTAGTTGAGCACTGGTCCTAGCATACAGCGGGGCAGGGTTGGGGAGGGGTGCTGGGGGTGCTGGGTCGTGCGAAAGAAATACAGCCCTGCAGAAGGAGCTGGGGGAGGGGGGTTGTGCTCTCTTCCGGGACAGTCCGCCCCTGGGTAGCACACACTCACCCGTCCTGATGGGATTCCTCAGCAACTAAACAGGGCCGCAGGTAGCCCAGTGATCCAGGGCCAACAGGATGAATGGAGCGAGGGGGGGGGGGGGGGGTCTGTATGTTTTCTTTTTGAAACAAGGTTATACCAGTGTAGCCCTGGCTGGCCTGGAGCTTACAAAGACCATACTTAAAATAACAATGTTCTACCTACCTCTGTCAAATTCTGGGATTAAAGACCCCCCACTTAAATTTTTTTCTGTTTGATTTCGAGGCAGGGCCTGTGTCGTCATAACTCTCCTGGAACTTGATTTGTAGACCAAGCTGGCATCAAACTTAGAGAAATCTTTCTGTCTCTGCCTCCCAAGTGCTGGAATCAAAGGCTTAGGCCACCATACCCAGCTTAATTTTCCTTTTTAGTCTACGATGAAGGCAGGTTTATTGTGCCATGTTCTGATGTCTTGTCCCTACCTTTCTGACAGAGCTCTATGAATACTGCATTAAAGAAGGCTATGCAGACAAAAACCTAATTGCCACGTGGAAAAAGCAGGGCTACGAGAATTTGTGCTGCCTACGCTGCATTCAGACCAGGGACACCAACTTTGAGACGAACTGCATTTGCCGGGTTCCGAAAAGCAAGCTGGAAGTGGTAATGCCTGATGGCTGGACGGGGAATTATTTCCTGTTTAAAGCTCATCTTAGTTGACCATAATGGGTATTAGGGGAAGGAATTTTGACATTGGAAATCTGCCTGCCATCCCTCCCAAGAGTGAGTCCTTCAGATCAGAATCCTTCCCAGTGAGATCTAAGACTGGTCTCAACACTACCTGTGGTCAAATAACTGGACCAAGCCTCTTTTCTTAGGCGGTAGCTCTGAGGTGATGGAAGGGCTACATTGGCGTGGCTACTAGGCAACCTAGCCCTTTCTGTCTGGCCTCATGGTGACAGTCTCTGTGTATCCTCATGGTGACAGTCTCTGTCAGAACTTTGTCCAAAGCAAGGAGTAGTGACTCATGCCATAATCCCAGCACTTGGGAGGTTGAGACCAGCCTGGACTAGCGCTGAGATCGTGTTTCAAAATAATAATAATGATGATGATGATGATTTCAAAGCTAGGCACCTGGCAGTGGTGCTGGGGTACACAGCATGTTTCAGAACAGCCTGGGATTCATACAATATTATCTCAAAAGAAAAACCCCCCAAAAGCAAAGGCTGCCAGCAAAGGGACCCTTCTGACATGATATAGGACAACACCTCCTTCTCACTGCAAACTTCTGCCAAAAGTGGCCTTGGCCGCATCCACTTTGCAGAATTTGGCAAATTAAAATATGTTCATCACACCATTGACACTTATTCAGGCTTTCAGTGGGCAACTGCTTTAAGTTCAGGAAAAGCTGATTCAGTAATCACTCATTTATTAGAAGTCATGGCTATCATGGGTATACCTACACAAATAAAGACAGATAATGGTTCTGCTTATGTCTCTAGGAAAATGAAAAGGTTTTTTGATTATTACAATATCAAGCATGTTACAGGTATACCATACAATCCTACAGGTCAAGCAGTCATAGAAAGATCAAATCGAACTATAAAGGATATGTTGAACAAACAGAAAGGGGTGGAAAACACCCCCAGAAATAGGTTACATAATGCCTAGTTAACCTTGAATTTTCTCAACGCTAATGAGAAGGGAACAACGGCTGCAGAAAGACATTGGATAATGGAAAAGTCTACTGAACTAAATCAACCAGTTTATTTCAAGGATGTGCTGACCTCACAATGGAAGCCAGGAAATGTGCTGCGTTGGGGAAGGGGTTTTGCTCTTATCTCCACAGGTGAGGAAAAATTGTGGATACCGTCAAAATTAATAAAGGTTCGGTTTGAAGAAAAGAAGCCACTTGGAAAAGATAAATAACAATTCATTCACAAGGATGGCGAGCATACTGATGGTAAGAAATACAGATAGGTTGGGGGCAGGGTTCTTTTCTTATCTCCACAGGAAAATACTCATCTTCAAAGAAATTAAAGGACCCTGAATATTTAATTACTGATGGATGGACACATTTTGTAAGTATTAATTTATATATATATATATGTCTTATTAAACATTTCTTTATAAATATGTAGAGCTGGTTTTGAAGTTGGACTCTGGCTCAGTCCCTCTCCAATTCCAAACCTGTTAGTAAGAGAAAAACCCAGAGTTTCTGGAGGTTCTGTCTCATGTCAAGAGCCATGATATGGGACAGAAAGAAATATGAGTTTAGAAAACATCTTTGCTTTTCTTCATATCTATCATACTTTTCATTGAATATATCTATCATGCCTTTCATTGAATATATATATATATGTATGTCTATATATGTCTATATGATTAATGTTTAAGTTTTTCACAATGAACAATGAGTTTTTCCTGAAGTGACATTTGAAGTTTCCAGGAAAAAGATGGGGCCCCACAACAACAACTCTACCTGGTTGATATGACATCATGATACTGATAGCACTATTACAAGACCTGTTTGGGGTACCAGCAGCACAAGACGATTCCAACTTGGTTAGCTGAAATGGTGCACATCTTGTACAACATTCTGGCCAGACCTCCACAAAATACTCAGAGACTATTTGCAATTTTAAAAGACATTGATCTTGAAATTTAACCATCATTTTACTTTCACAGAATCCCCCAGAAAGAACGTCGCCCCCATGACAACTGGAAGTAATTCTAGAGGACGACGTCCTCTCTCCCAGTAAAGTTTGCCCCGGGTTTAGGGACATCATTTAGGGGTTGGGAGGTTGGGGGAGGAATTTTATAAGCTCAGGGATCATTTCGAGAAAAAAAAAGAGGGATGATGGGATAATAGATTTATAATTGTGAGTTACTGTCTTTAGACAAATATATTGGTATCGATTCTTGTATATTGATACAAAGTTAAATTATATTGATTATTGTATGCATGCATGTTTCTACCTGTTTAAAACATTTTTTATGTATTGACATATATTGTATTGATATATATATTGTATATATTTACCATATTGCAGTATACATTTCTACCTCTGATTAAGATACTTATATAATGTTTGTGTATTGATATATATTTACCATATTGCAATGTATATTTGTACAGTGTTTATATTTGGAGGTCATTATCCTCATTTGTTACACAGTTGTTTATTGTCTTAGTCTTTAAGTTAGATAGATATTGAGAATTATATAAATAGTCATCTAAGTTTGTCATTTATAATTAGACTAATCAGGTTCTCTAGATATATAGAGATTATACTCAGTATAGATAGATAATCTTCATCCTCTTCAAAGAGCTGTAGAAAATGGCCTTTAATCTAACTCAGAGTTTCATGATAGTGAGACACAATTGCTCCTGGCAACACCGCTCTATTCCCAAGAGAATGTTGAGCACCAAAGACACTCCACCTGGAGCCTTTCTTTTTGGCAGAACTGGCCTTTGGGCAAAGAAATGCCCATACCTCAACCACTGACAGAGATACAGAGCGTGCATCAATGGATAAAACAGGACTGTCATATCCTGCCAAGACAGGGTTAAGATAGTTTTGAAAAGTTCCTTGCCTTTAATAATGGTATGTCAGTTATGTTAGGCCTTAGCCAAAGTTGGTTGACTCAACATTGCTAACGAGACTTTGGGTGATTGCCCAGGTAGTCAGTTGTCTCTGTCAATTGTTGCACATTTTGGATATATCTCGTTTGTTAAGAAATATTTATTCCCTTCTCAGATCTTTGACGGAGTTGAAGATTATATAATTGTAGTTACTCTCTACATTATTTAGACTCCTTGAGATAGAATGTTTAGCAAAACTTTTGTTCTCAATATTGTTTGTTATATTTATTATTTGTTATTATTGTATATAGTTGTATTTGGTTTAGTTCTGTCTTATTTAGACAAAAAGGGGAGATGTAGGGATAAGTCCTGCCCCTAAGGGAGCGTGTTCGCCTCGGGCTAATGTTTGCCTATAAATTTGGTGAACATGCTCCCAGCGGCTTCTGCTTTCCTGGTCTCCGCGGGAACGGTGGTTCTGTAAGTCTATTTCTTCATTAAAGCTCTCTCTCTCTCTCTCTCTCTCTCTCTAAATATATATATATATATATATATATATATATATATATTTACAATCTGTCTGCATTCGTTTACGCCGTTACAGTGGCTGAACTCCAGTTTTAGACCCTTGAAATGGAATACCAGGACATCAGGCCAGGGCCATCCACTGAGCTTTCATTCAAGTGCAGATGGCCTCAGCTCAGCAGGCAGCTCTATCTGCCCTCTGTGCCAAAGCTGGGGCTCTGATGTGGATGTGCCAAGCCATGGCTAGTGGTTGATGGCTGCTTCCCAAGAGGAGGCTCTTGGTGTCCCAGCCTCTGGATTGTTCCTCAGTTGGCAGAGGGCTGTCTAGTATGCATGAGGCCCTGGTTCCATCTCCAGCACCCCATAGAATCAGATGTGGTAGTGCACATCTGTACATTAAGCTGTGAAATGTAGGGCTATCCATTATGAGACTTGTCTCAAAGATTTAGCAGAACTTTACCAGAAAACTTTATTTGCTTAACATGGGCTCTTGGACTCCAGAAGAAGGTCAAGACAGCATTTCCCCAGCCCCAGCCACTATGCCCTGGGACAATTCTGCTCTGGCCACAGGAACTTGAGTGCATACCGTCTGCCCAGTGTCCTCAAGAACTCTGGCCTAAGCCCTCTAGGCAGTAGCAGGCCCACCAGGAGAATAAAAAGGCTGGCTTACATCAGGTGGTCACACACCTTTAATCCTTTAAGCAGAGACAGCAGGATCTCTGAGTTCAAGTCCAGCCTGATCTACAGAGCAAATTCTAAGCCATCTCCCTCCCGCTCTTCCAGTCAAGTCCCCCTCCCTCATCAGCCCAAAGAGCAATCAGGGTTCCCTGCCCTGTGGGAAGTCCCAGGACCACCCAACTCCATCCAGGTCTAGTAAGGTGAGCATCCAAACTGCCTAGGCTCCCACAAAGCCAGTACGTGCAGTAGGATCAAAAACCCAGTGCCATTGTTCTTGAGTTCTCAGTAGTCCTCATTGTCCGCTATGTTCAGCGAGTCCGGTTTTATCCCAGGCTTTTTCAGATCCAGGCCAGCTGGCCTTGGTGAGTTCCCGATAGAACATCCCCATTGTCTCAGTGTGTGGGTGCACCCCTCGCGGTCCTGAGTTCCTTGCTCGTGCTCTCTCTCCTTCTGCTCCTGATTTGGACCTTGAGATTCCTGTCCGGTGCTCCAATGTGGGTCTCTGTCTCTGTCTCCTTTCATCGCCTGATGAAGGTTAATATTCAGGAGGATGCCTATATGTTTTTATTTGGGAGGCAGTGGCAGGGAAGAGACAGAAATCTTTAATAAATAAATAAATTTAAAAAAAAAACAAATTCTAGGCCATCAAGGATTGCTACAGAGAACCCTGTCTCAGAAAAAAAAAAAAAAACCAACAAAACAAAAAAAGGAGGGAGGCACTGGCTTACAGAGGATTCTTTGTGGCGGTGGTAGGTGTGTCTTGCCTTAATCACACACAGACGTGTAACTTTCGGCTAGTGGTAGCTGTTTCCATTTTCCCAAAGGAGCTAAAATATCCAAATGGAAGTGTGTAGGAACAGGGACTATTCCACCAGCACCCTGTACAGCACGTTTCAGTCGGTATGTGCAGTGTTGTAGCAGTGTACACAAATGTCCCCGTCTTCTGTTACAGGGTCGCATCATCGAGTGCACGCACTGCGGTTGCAGAGGTTGCTCTGGCTGACACCCGTGACTCTGCTGTATTCTGGACTTTGGACTTTTTTGGTTCCTACCTACTGGGCCACCCCCTTCTGGAGCAGCTCTTCTCAGAGTGGTGCCCAGAGAAGAGACCCAGAGGGAACATGGGCTCTAGAGGTGAAGGCTTTCCAATCGCTGAAATCTGTAAAAATAAAACCATTAGACCTCTTGGCTATATTCATTCTTTCAGAGCATCAGGCTGCGGGATGCAGGGGATGGGCACAGTTGTGGCTCAGTGTCATAGCCAGTCTGTGAGCAGAAGCTTACACTTTCTCAGCAGTGACGTGGAGGGCAACCTGGGCCCAGGATTTTGTCCTCATGCCTACGCCTGCAGAACGCTGCGGTGCCTCTAGGAAGGCGACACCAGCACACTCTCTGCTTTTAAATGGAAGGAGCTCCTGGGCTCCACCTGCACTGTGAACGCTGGGAGCTTGTCGCAGCAGCATGCGCCATCACTTGTCCCTAAGGCCTCTCCGGACACCAACATTCCCAGTGGTGTCTTGGTTCCCCATAGGCTTGGTCCGGAACTCCTGCCAGGGGTGGGAGGCTTCCTCTGCTGGCATCACTTTCAGCCACTGCTTGTAATAAGCTCGAAAGCCATCAATCTTCTTCAAGTAGGTGTTATTCCCTTTGTACTGTAATTAGAAATGAACAGAACTACGTCAAGGTGAGTGACATACAGGGACAGATGCTTTACCATGAGACCCATCACTCTGTACAATGAATATGGAATACACTAAGAAAAGCAGGGAGTTCAGAAATGTTCTCAGGCAATCCAAGCCACTGCATGTCACCCAAAGCTACACAGCAGCTGACCTCTGCTCTGCTTTCAAGAGACTACAGTGGACAGGAAAGAAAAATGGACATTAGATTTACTGCTGTATTGCAGGGCAAGACAAACTGCCCTTGGCCTAAAAGCCATCGATTCTAAGGGCACAGTGTCACTCCTAAACCCGTGGAGGTCACCTCAGCCCCACAGCTAGAATTGAGGCATCCCATTAGTTCTGCCTCTTTTGCTGAGATGCTCCCATCCTGACCTATAACCTTGGCCCACTGCAGCATCCACTTGTAGGGAGGTTAGGAATGAAGAGCCTGAAACAGCTGGCAGGAGTTATCTAGGAAAAATAGGCCAAACCAAAAAAAGAGAGGAAAACCCCATTAATTATGAGATTAAAAGTTTGATTTAAAAAGATGAAGTTCAAGTCAGGTGTGGAGATACATGCCTTTAATCCCAGTACTTGAGAGGGAGAGGCAGGTAGATATCTTAAGTTTCAGACCAGTTAGGTTTACAAAACAAGTTCCAGGACATCCAAGGCTACACAGAGAAACCCTGCCTCAGTAATAAGCAATAGATTAAGTGTGCTGAGGAAATGGCTCAATGGTAAAGTGTTTGGTATGCAAACAGGACAAATTCACTCTAGTACCCATGCCTTGTGAGATAACCCTGTGCTAGGGAGATGAGACAGGCAACAAGAGCAAGTCTAGCCAAACATCAGCTCCAGTGTCAGTGAGACGCTCTCAGAAATTAACTCCGAGAGTGGCAGAAGGCTTCAGTGGCACCTAACGCCCTATCTCCGCACTTAGCAACGAGACCATCTCCTGATAAGATATTTACAACATGGAACTGAAGAAAGTCTAGGGGCCAGCCTGAGTTACCTGAGACTGCCTCAAAATGAAAAGTGGGCTGGAGAGATGGCTATGTGGTTAAAGTACTGTTCTTCCAGACGACCTGGGTTCAGTTCCTAGCATCCACACCAGGCAGCTCACAGCCACTTGTCAGCTCCAGGGTACTCAATGCGGCTCAGGGCCTTGGGGTTCTCCTAAGGAAAGCTACTGAACAACTTTCAGAAAGGAAGTGAACGTCAAGCCCCAAAGGCCGAAACCAGAGATGGCAGAGGCTAAGACAATGGTGAGCACTGTAAGGTTGGCACACATACCCGGTCAAAGGTGGGAGGGTACTCAGCAGCAAACTCTAGCTGACGGATGATCACTTCATTCACTGGGACGCTGTTCTGCCTCATGTCCTTCAGGATATCAATGAGATAGGCATAGTCCAGCTTCTTGAGGGCCGCGTTGATCAGAGTGCTGTAGATGTGGGTGTTAGGGGCCATCTGGGATTTCTAGAACGTGGATATCACATAGTCAGCAGGATGATGGTGGCTGCTAGGACAAGGGAGTCTGCTAGGCCCGACCCACAAACCCACAGATAGGCACCAGAAACAAGACGGGTGGAACCGTACAGCAACAGCTGGCTGTCCAACCCCACACAAAAGCAAGTTTGTCCTGTCACTTCAGCCCTGAAAAATCTGGAGAGAAGACTGCTGCTCCGGCGGCAACAGACAGGAAACGAGGTGTAAAATACCTCCACGCTCTGACTCTTGGCTGCAGCTCACTGCTTAAAGGGTCTTCACCACAAGGTGGGGGGCATCTATAACAGCTAGCATTAGTACGGGGGTAGAATGTGGGAACACAGCTCGGTCCTTATAGAAGTGGCCACTGCTGGGGTCGGCTGGAATTGAATGAGCATCAGAGCAGCCACAGCTGAAAACCACCCTCTGCTCTCCAAGCTTCTAGTCCATCTCTCCTCTGGCCAGAGCTCCCATCCCTCCGGGTGTTAGGGCTCAGACTCATTCACATCTCTCCACTGGAACCAACAATAGCTTCAAGATGGAAACACATTCCACAATACCTCACAGAATCTGCTCATTCCCACAGGGGGTCATGGCCATTCCTGCTCCACACTCATTTGATCCTGCTGGGTCCTATTTCCCCCATAACTTCTTGAGAACTCCCTGGGTTTTCTCCCAGAACCGGAGGCATCCTGCTTGGGCTTGGGCCTCTCACCTTCATGTCCGCAAGCAGCTGCATACCATCCCTGGGTCTACGGCACCCAATGGCCAGATTGCAGAAAGTCCGCAGATCGGGGACAATTCCCTTCTTTGCCAGGACTGGCAGCAACGCCTGTAAGACAGACATGCAACTGTTACCTGAGACCTACAAGCCCTGGCCAGATGTCCTGATGAATTCCTTTGCTGGATGCTAGAGACCAAGGGGCACCATTGCTTAGAGGCCTCTGGACTCCCTCAGCTGGCTACATGGCACTGCTGCTCTCTACTCAGCCCCAGAGGACTGTCTTCTTAGCTTGTCCAGAGGAAGGTGTACTCTGCACTGTGGCCATTTCTGTCACCTTTGACCCTCACAGATGCCCAGGGCACTGCTTCTGTCAAAGCGCATCACACAAAAACTGACTGTGTAAGTGACAAAAACCTGTCTGGAGCCTGCCTATCATCTCTGTGAGATGGGGAGAGCTGCACACAATCAGACTGCGTCTCCTGGCCTGACCAGAAGAGAAGCAGAGAGACCTGAAGCTGATGATAGCACAGAGAATGTGCAGTGTTGGGAACATATTGGGGTGGCAAGAACACTCCAGAGACTAATTGGGGTGCCTCATGGTGAACCTATCTTTTTGAGGGGGGAAGCTGAACCAGGGTCTCAATATACTGCCTTGGCCAGTCTGGAGTTCACTATGTAAACTGGACTAAAACTTAGAGATCTGTTTACTCTCGAAAGAAAAGGTCTCAAGGACTCTAGGCTGGCACTGAACTCTCAATTTGGCTATGCTAGATTGTCTTATGTCAATTTGACATATGCTAGAGAGCTGAAAGGAGGGACACTCAACTGAGAAAATACACACATAAAATGGAGCTATAGGGCATTCTCCTAATTAGTGATTGATGGGGGAGGGCCCAGCTCAAGGTAGGTGGTGCCAGCCCGAGGCTGGTGGTCTTGGGTTCTATAAGAAAACAGGCTAAGCAAACCTTGAAGCAAAAACAGTAAGCAGCACCCCTCCATGGCTTCTGCATCAGCTCCTGCCTCCAGGTTCCCTTGTTAGAGTTCCTGTTCTGACTTCCTTAGTGATGGACTACAAATGTACAAATCCATCACAAATCGCTGTTGGTCGTGGTGTTTCATCACAGTAAATAGGAACCAAAGCTAAGACAGTGGCCAAGGGTGACCTTAAATGTTTGATCCTCCATCCTCCAATCCCCAGCTCCTAGGATTATAGGTGTGAATCAGGTTATGCAGTGCTAGGAATGGATCCAGGATCACATGTGTGCTAGGCAACTCTACCAGTTGAGCTACCCTCAGCCCCACAGTGACATTTTATTTTGTTTTGAATGTGTATAGGTGTGCCTGCATTTATGTCTAAGTACTACTTGAATGCTTAGTGCTCATGGAAGCCAGAAGAGGGCATCAGATCCCCTGAAACTGGAGTTACAGATGGTTATGAGCTGCCAGATAAGTGCTAGGAACCAAACCCAGGGCCTCTAGAAGAGCCAGTGTTCTTAAGCACTGAGGCATCTCTCCAGCCCCAACTGATGGTGATTCTTTAACAGCTGAACAACTCTACGGTCCTGTTCCTGAAGCACCTGCTTATCTTATGTACCCCTCCTCAGTGTAGTGACACATTTGGCCTCTTGGAACCCAGTATCCCCAGCATATCAGGATGTCCCTTCTTCCTAAATGCCCTTCATGCCCTTCCTCTATGTGGTAGGGCTGTGGTGCAGTTGGCTGGTTTGTGTCTCAATTCCTAGCTTCATATAAGGCCAAGCCTAGAGCAGGGCTCCAGATATATATGCTAATAAGCTATATTCTACAATCTAAGGTCAGAGAATGAAGACCCCAGTAGATAGTGCCTGACCTTTGCTCCCTCCAGGTCTCCCAGCTTGCTCTTCTTCCTTATCAGCGTGTTGAAGAAGGTAACGTCGGCCTCCACCTTATGCCTGTCCAGGATGGTCAGCAGCGAGGATTCTGCAGGGCTCCCAGGTTCCACCACCTCAGCCAGTAGAGTGAGGGTTTTGATGTCCGGCTGGAGCCCGTGTTCTGCCATCTTTCCCAGGAAGCCCTCCAGACCTCCCATCAAGGCCAGCCTATCAGCAGGTGTGGCCACTGTCCCAAAGGAGACTACAGTTGGGGAGAGAGTCCCAAGACTCAGGATATTAACTTCCAGATTCAAGGGGGGAAGCATCAGGGCCAGTGGGGTATGGGCTGGTATATGGCCAGGTTCTGCCTTGGTTTCTATCTCAGGCTGGATTTTGCTTGTTACCCCAGTCTCAGGGAACTCTGAAGGTCTCTCAAGTTCCTGAGAAGGTTCCAGAAACAACTGCCTCTCTAGTGCCTCCACATGTCTAACTGACACATCAACCACTGCCTTGGCCTGGACTTTCCTCCGGGCCTCAGGCCTGCCTGCTGGTAGCTGGAACGGGATGGTCTCTTCCTGAGGCTTCAGGAGCAGCCTGGAGGCAACCTCTGGGTCCCCCAGACCACAGTCTCGAGCTGCGCCCAACAGGAGGTTATAGCCATGCCTAGTTGGTTTGATGCCCAGCCTCAGCATCTGCCGCCATACCTGCAGGAGAAACTAATATTAGCTACATGTCTCTGCCTCCTCTGGGCTCCCATGGAAGGAGGCGCTGTGCAGTAACAATCAGACTGGCAAACTCCTAAGGCACAAGAAAGCTGGAGTAGCTCTGCGGTGCAGCAACAGCTGAGTGTATGTGAAGACCTAGAAAAAAACCCTAGCACCACCAAAAAAAGAAAAAAAAAAGTGCAGGGATGTGACTCGGGTATGGAGCTCCCAGGTTCAGTCACTGTGATGCCAGCCTACAGCCCCAGGTAAAAGGATCAAGAAACCTCAATAATACAAAAACAAAAAACGGCAGGGGTGGGAAGTGGGGATGTGAGAACTGGCCACCAAATCTGATGACCTAAGTTCAATCCCTAGACTCTACATGACAAAAGGAGAGAACCAACCTGGGAGGTTGTCCTCTGGCCTCTACATTTGTGCTGGGGAATGCAAATGCCTTCCCGCCAAAATACATATAATCAAAATAGGTTTAAGAGGTGGTGAGATGTGCTGGCTTTGTGGGAGCCTAGCCAGTTTGGATGTTCACCTTCCTAGAAATGGACGGAGAGGGGAGGACCTAGGACTTACCACAGGGCAGGGAACCCTGACTGCTCTTTGGACTGGAGAGGGAGAGGGAGAAGAATGGGGGGAGGGGGAGAAGGGTGGGAGGAGGGGGAGAAGGGTGGGAGGAGGGGGAGGGAAACGGGAGGCTGGGAGGAGGTGGAAACTTGTTTTTTTTTTTCTTCTCCTTTTCTCAATAAAAAAAATGGAAAAAAAAAAAAGAGGTGGTGAGATGGCTCAGTGGTTAAAAGCTCTGGCTGCTCTTCCAGAGGACTCGAGTTCAGTTCCCAGCACCCACATGGCAGCTCACACCTGTCTGCTACTCCAGTTCCAGAGGATTCAACACCTTCACATAGACATACATGCAGGCCAAACCCCAATGCACAGAAAATAAATACATACATTTAAAGAAGTGACTAAACAAAGAGGAATCGAGAAAGTATCCAGCCTAGCTAAGGCCAGGCGTGGCAGCACACACCTTTAAGTAGTTGTGAGCCACTGTGTGGGTACTGGAGACTGGACCCAGGTCTTCTACAAAAGCAGCCAATGCTCTTAACTTCTCTCTCCAGCACCCTTTGGTTTTTCTGTTTTGTTTTTTTGAAACAGGTTCTTACTATGTAGCCTTGGAGTCATTACGTGGATCAGGCTAGCCTTAAACTCAGAGATGCCTCTGCTTCCCAGGTGCTGCACTAACTCACCAGTCCCTTCTCTGGTTCTGACAGAAACCTTAAAGGGCTGGGTGTGGGCAACAGCGGTCACCCCACCTTAGAGCAAGGTATGCAGATGGGGACTGGCAGGTTAGGCAACAGCTTGGCAAACCTTGCAAGGCTCTAATGCCTATCAGGGCAACGTTTTCAGAAAGGCAGGGATCTTGGCAGCCTTTCCTAAGGAATGGTTAGCAGGATGGAAAATTAAGAGATATATACACCATATTGTTGAAATAAAATGTGGCAGAGTCACACACTCTGATATACTTGGCTTTTTTTTTTTTTGAGACAGGATCTCAAACTAGAAGTCTCAATGGAGACTAAGTTGTAGCAATTTTTTCTTTTTTGATGTGTGTTTGTGTGTGTCTGTGTGTCGCTGTTGTAAATGGGTTATCTGTACTGTAAGGTGAACATCAGGTATCCTATTATATCACTCTCTGCCTTACTCAAGGAGAGAGGGTCTATCACTCGACCTAGCCTAGCAATCCTCATGTCACTGATGTCCAAAGAGCTGGGGTCACAGTGACAAGATCACATCCATCTTTTTGCACGAGTTCTAGGGATTCGAACTTAGGTCCTCATGTACTTATATAGCAAGTGCTGTTACCTATTAAGTCATCTCCTTAGCCCTAAATCCCAGCTCTGAGTGGCTGTGGGAATCTCATGTATGGTATAAACGTCTGTGAGCCTCAGTTCCTTCACCTGCCAAAAGGGGTGGACAGAGCCCTGAGGAAGCAGGAAGCGTGTAGCACACAGGCCGGCAGTACTGATGGGCTCAGGAAGTGTTTAACACAAACAGGCCCGTGGAACTGATGGGTTCATTCTACACTTTCTTCACAGCATGCCACTGCTTCAGAGTTCTTTGCAGAGGGGATACAACATTGGGTCTTGGGTTGTCATTCAGTAAAGTGCTGAGAAGCTTCCTGAAATGCATGTCTGGAAACAGGATATCTGGACTGGGCTGCTGTCAGGCTGTGGTGGACACATTGGTTGGCAGAGCCTGGAAAAACATGACTCCCAAGCATCCATTGGTAGCAACACCAGCGCCCACTCCTGACATAATGAGAGATCTGAGATGGGAATAGAGGATCTGTCTCACTTTGAGACTAAGTGTGTATTCCTGGTTGCACCTGGAGAGATGCCAACTAGAGTATGAACCTGAGGGATGGGCTGAACACATACCCCAGTTCCCATACTGCAATGGTCAGGAAACCCAAAATTAGAGGGTCTGAGAAGGAGAGGGATGGGCTGGCTGTGCCTTCACTAGAAGAGCAGCATTGCCACAAGCCTCCTTTCCATGCTGTCCACAAAATGGAAGAAGACATGCCCTGTAGTGATTACCACTAAGGCCAGGAGATGACAGATGTAAAAACACTTGGCACAGTGGGCTGGAGAGAAGGCTCAGCAGTTAAGAGAACAAATTGCTCTTTTAGGGGACCTGAGTATGGTTCCCAGCATCCAGTTCAAGGGACTCACAACAGGCTATACAACTCCAGCTCCAGTTGACCTCCTTCTGGCCTCCTGCATACATACATACAACTTAAAGACAAAAAACAAACAAAGCTAACCCTGGCACCAGGCAGGACAACGGCAAGACTGACCTGCACGGCTTTCAGGAAGCCTGCCTTCTTGTCCTGGATGCAGCCCACGAGCAGGAAAGAGAAGGTTTCCTCTGTGGCTCTGTGCCCCTTGTGGATGATTTCCTGGGCAAGAGGAGAAAGCAGTCTCACTCAGAACCTATAGCAATGTCAGTACCAGGTCCATGCATCTCTTGGGAACAGGTGCCTGGACACAGCACTGGAACCAGTTAGAACCAGCCCCATCTCCCCAGCTCTGCTCCTTGAATCAGCAGCATCTGCAAAGCTGACCCTTGCAACCACTGTACTTGAGCCCTAGAATAAAAGGACTGGTTTCAAGACCCAAAAACAACAGCAGCCAATTATGGGCATGGATAAGGACAAGGCCCTGAGCTACTCAGCCTCAGTTTCCTCACCTGTGAAAGGACACACCTTCTAGGATATCTGAACAAGGCTTCAACCATGTAGAACTATACAGGGCAAGGACACGGTCCCCACCAGTCTTTTCAATGTCAAGCTGGGCTAGACCTCCTAAAAGACACTCCCATCTCTCAGAAACTCCTGTCTTCCCACTCAGCACAGGATCCCCCTCTCCACCACCATCCTTTTGCTTGCCTGCCTACAGCCCATACTGTCAGACTGAGGCCACGGAAAGCTAGGTCATGTTGGATACATGTGAATCCCAGCATAAAGCATGGGCTGTCTCAGCTTTCCTGAACATTCCAGGTGAAGGGAGACAAGTAATCTGTTTCTCACACTTGTCCCACAGGACTGGGTCTGACTTGGAAGAGCAAGGGAGTCCCCACCTTGAAGACATCAAGGCACATCCTGAGGTCTGCACACTTGGCGGTCACCTTCAGCAGGGCATGATATGTTTTCAGGTTGAGTTGGAAGTTTTTGGCCAGGAGCTGCTGTCGGAGCTTCAGAGCACTCTGCAGGGCGGAGTCCTTCCAGGGGGACTCTGCACAGACATTGAACAGGGCTGTGTAGGTGGCATCCGAAGGCTCCAGGTCTCGCTTCTTCATCTGTTGAGATGGGAGAACACTGAAGGAAATTCTAGGTGAATTTGGATACAGAGATCACAGCCACTTTGAAGGGTCCAAGTAGCACCTCATACACAGATCCAAACTCCTTACTTCACTAGAGGGACTATGAAAATTGAGCCCACACTCTTGGAAATGCCAACAGGAAATCATCCTCCTAGGCCACTTGAAAGAATATTCTAGAGCTGGTATGCTTATATTCTGAGGCCTGAGCAGCTTATCCTGACCGTCCAGGATGTACAGAGCGTGTCTGTTCTGGGAAAGGGGGACCAGTACTCACTAGTTGGGAGCTCACGAGCTAGTCAACTCTGCTTAGAAACCAAGGATGAGATCATTCAGAAAGATCATTACAATGATTCATATACCTACAATGTCCTTTGAGAAGTGCAGTTTTGTCAGGTATGTTGGCGTCTTAGCACTCAGATGACAGAGGCAGGCATGAGTTCAAGGCCAGCTTGGTCTACATAGCGAGTTCCAGGTAAGCCAAGGTTACATAGTAAAACTGTCTCAAAATATAAAACAAAACAAAAGAGAAGTGCAGTTTCTTTCTGTCTGCTCTAACCACAGACTATGAGGACTAGAGTAGTGTACCAAATAAGAGGGCTAAGATTAGCAAGAGTCTGCTAATATAAGGACTCCCTTAGCTTCTGGCACCAGAAGATGGGTTGTATCTTGTTTGAGTCTACAGCTGTCCCATGTAAGGTTCTTTTTTGATTCATGAAGGAACAGAAGCAGGGTTTGTGTGAGCAACTGTGGATGATGTGGAGAGGAATACAGACTAACCAGGCATAGTAGCAGAGAAATTAGGGACATGTGGGCTCCTAGCAGCCCAGGCGCATAACTAAGCATGTCTCTTGTCACCTACTCAGTTCCCCAAGAACACAATTTGGATTCAATGTCAACAAATCTCATGTAATCTGCCCATGGCATTATGCTCAGGATCTGCTCCCAGCATGCATTTCAGAGCTTTGGTCCTCTTACTGTGGCCCACACTCACGTCATTATAGAGTTTGAAGGCCTTCTTCAAGTAGCCGACGCGCCCACAGCCCCCAATCAGCACCGTATAGTTGCACTCCAAAGGCTGCAAGCGCTCTTCCTTCAGCATCTGCCTCTCAAACAAATCCAGGGCCTCCGCCAGCTAGGTAAAAAGCCAGTATGAGAGAGCTCAGGATGGTTTCAGAGACCTTTAGCAAGCCAAGGAGAGTGGGGCATATATTTGGCAGGGGGATCAAAGCCATTCTAGGCTACACGGCATGTTTCAGAACAGCCTGGGATTCATACAGTATTATCTCAAAACAAAAACCCCCCAAAATCAAAGGCTGCCAGCAAAGGGACCCTTCTGACATGATACAAGACAACACCTCCTTCTCACTGCAAACTTCTACCCAAAGTGGCCTTGGCTGCATCTCTAATTTTCTACACTGTCCCTTTAGTACATACTTTCATTCCTTATTCTTTGTTTTCGATGTTGTTGTTGTTCTGGAGATCATACCCAATGCCTACACATGCTTGGAAAACACTTTACCCCTAAACTGAATTTCTAGCCCAATTTCCACTTTCTCTCTTTCGTTTTCTTTTCTCCCTTCCCCTTTCCCTTTCTTTCTTTCTTTTTTTTTTTTTTTTTTTTTTTGAGACAGGGTATAACTATGTATACTAGGCTGGATTCCAATTCCGAGATATGTCTGTCTCAGTGCTGGAATTAAAGGTGTATGCCACTATGCCCAGCTCTCACTCCTTTTTCTTATTTGAAATAATAGCTACCCCCAAGCATGGTGGCGCACAAAATAATCTGGGTGTAGAGGCATATGCTAGGTATTCCCAGCACTCCTGCTGAGGCAGGAAACTATGAGTGGAAGGCTAACCTGAACTACATGGTGAGTGCCAGTGAGCCAGGGCAACACAGCAAGACAGCCTGGAAAGAATGGTGGAACTATTCAAATGAGCTAGAGCTGGAAACAGTTTAGAGGTCAAGCTGTTAAAAGAACAAATCATTACCCAAAGAAATGTGTTATGGACGAAAAGATTAGTGGGATTACCATGTAGTGGGTTAAAGATAGCTAGGGGGCTAGCGATATGGCTCAGCAGATAAAGGCACTTGCAGTGTAAATATAGTGACCAGAATTCGATCCCTGGGTCCCATAGAAAGGTGGGAGGGAAGAAGCAGCTCTACCATATTGTCTTCTGACTTCTACATGTGCACCATGGCACAAACACTCATCTGGCACAAAAACAATAGAGACCCAAGGACTGAGCAATGCACATTCCAGTTTCAACAACTAGGAAGGCTGTACTGCCTCACATATGTCAACCCGGCAGAAAGGAAGACCCCAAGGTTCTCGGACCTTTCCTTCCTTGATCAGACGTTTGCACTGAAAGAAGTACCAGTATGGAGTGTTCCTCCTGCCCTGCCACTGTTTGGGCTCCAATTCTTCCTCCTCGACACCCTGCTCCTTCAGCTGTAGATTATACAGCTGGGCTGTTGACTTGTGGAACAGTCTCCGGGAAGAGTATTTGTCAGAGAGGGTTCCAAAGCTCTCTTCGTCCTCCTCCTCTTCCTGAGGGGCCACAGTGCTGAGCTTATTGGAGTCAGAGCAGAAGCTGCCCATGTTCTTCTGGCTCCCCTGGCCCAGGGGCAGGTGGGAAGAGCTGCAGAAGGCTGCCGACACCTGCCAATGTGGCCATGCCGACCTCAGCTGTGCAAGTCCCTCCTTGACTCCTGTCCATCGGGTGGATCCAAGAAGATCCCAGTGTTGGAGGACAGACAGTCCTATGGGGTGGGGGCCAGAAAAGAGCCGGGAAAGTCTCATGAGGTCTATTGCTGGCCTTCTTGTACCTGAAATGAAGAAAAATAAGGAAGTCCCATCAGCCTCTGGGCGGAAGCTGGGAAGAAGAGAGAAGTGCAGATACTAGGGTAGCTCTGAGTTAGGAAGTCTGGGCTCAGGCTGGGGATGGGGAGTAGGACACGGGCCGTTATTTACACTCTCAGAAAACAATCAGAACAAGGTCATCCTCAGCTACATATCAACTTCAAGGGCAGCCTGAGCTTCTTGGGATTGTCTCAAAAGAGTAAGAGTAACAGAGAGAGAGAGCGCCAGGTGTGGTAGGTAGCCCACACAGTTAATCCAAGCACATGGGAGAGAGAGTTCCAAGCTAGTCAGGGCTACAGAGATCCCCTGTCTCGAAAACACAACAAAGAGGGCCTGAGCCTGTCTCGGCAGATAAAGGAGCTTTCTGCCATGCTCGATGACCTGAGTTTGGTCCCTGCATCTACTTGGTAGAAGCTGTGGTGCGTGTGTTCTCTGACCTGTGCACATACACTGTGCAATGCACCCATGTAAATGCACACATAAACAAATGTGTTTCAACAATGCACAGGAGTGCAGGGTAGCCTCTGCTATAAATAAGACCAGGCTATATGAGACACTGTCTCAAAAAACCAGAACCAAACCGAAAAAGAAGTCTTAGGCAGGCCTGAGATTCTTGGTACTTAGCAGCCTCTGGCAGAAGGACTACAATAAACAAAATGGGGTGTGAGTGTCTGTAGCTTCATGGCAGAACTCCTATCTAGCCTTCACGAGGTCCTAGGTTCAATCCTCAGGACTGAAAAAAAAATACACATAAAATTCCAGCACTCGGGAGGCAGAGGCAGGTGGATCTCTGTGAAGTTGAGGCCAGCCTGGTCTTCAGAGTGAGTTCCAGGACAGGCTCCAAAAGCAACAGAGAAACCCTGTCTCGAAAAACAAAAACAAACAAACAAACAAAAAAAAACAACCATGTACGGTGTGGTGGTGTACTCCTTTAGTGCAAGCACTCAGAGGTCATCACAGGTAGATTTCTCCAAGTTAGAGACCATCCTGGTCCACAGAGTGTGAGTTCCAGGTCAGCCAGGGCTACAAGACACACACTGTCTCAAAACAAAACAAACAAAATAACCAGAAAATTATATACGTGCTTACATATTTTTTCCCTTTTGTGGTACTAAAGGTTGAATTTAGAGGTCTACGACTCAGCTATATCACTAGCTATATATATATATATATATATATATATATATATATATATATTTTTTTTTTTTTTTTCCCCCAGACAGGGTCTCTCTGTGTAGCCTTTGCTGTCCTAGAATTCACTCTGTAGAACAGGCTGGCCTTAAACACACAGAGATCCAACTGCCTCCGCCTCTAGAGAGCTGGGATTAAAGTTGTCTACCACCAGTGCCTAGCGATCTTTATAGTTTTTGAGACAGGGTCTCACTGAGTAGCCTTCGTTAGCCTCAAACTCATCTTATTTTCCTGCCTCAACTTTACTTCAGTGCTAGCATTACAAGCAAGGACTACTGTGTCTGGGATTTTGTATTTATTGGCTTGTTTGTTTATGAATCTGGTAGCATTGGGCTTCAAATCCAGGGACTTGTGAATCTAAACTCTCTCACTGAGCTGCATCCTCCCATACCAGCCTAGCATTTCGTTTTTATTAGATGGGCTTTAGAGTTCAGCCTGCATAATTTAAACCCTTTAATAAAAAAACATCAGCCGGGTGGTGGTGGCACACACCTTTAATCCCAGCACTCGGGAGCCACAGGCAGGAGGGTCTCTGTGAGTTCAAGGCCAGCCTGCTATACATCTACGTACATACTTACAAACGTACACGCGTACAAAAATCAGGATAAACTTTTGTTTTGTTTTGGTTTTCGAGACAGGGTCCCTCTCTGGCTGGAACTCTGTGAACCAGGATAGCCTTTAACTCACAGAGATCCTCCTACCTCTGCCTCCCCAGTATTGGAATTAAAGGCGTGCGCCACCGCCGCCCGGCTGACGATAAACATTTTAAATCCTAGTTCTATTAGAAGGTTGACTCTCCCTCCAGGTTGGCCTCGATCTTTTGATTTCCTGCCTTCACTTGCCATTTATTGGTATTAAAAGTATGTTCCAACATTCCCGGTTTATGTTATGTGGTCCTGAGGCAAACACTTTGCCAACTGAGCCACATGCCCAGTCTCCTTACCTGAGTTTTAAACCTTTGAATTAGAGATACGTGGAGGCTGTCCAGCCGTAGGGGGGCCTGGGACCTTCGGGGCGCCCCTGCCTCCCCTCCCCAGGCCTACAGAGCGTGGATTTTCTCACGTGACCGACGGCGCCGGCTTGGACAGTCCCTTGGCTCCAATTTCGGCCTGGCTCCGGGGATTCCTACGAGGGTTGAACAAGAAGTCACTCCGAGAGTCGTGCGCATCGAAGCGCCTTAAGGCGTCCTCGGGGTCGCAGGGTTTCGGCCCCGATCAACTTCCTTCCCTTAGCCACACGCGCCTGCGGTCCCGCCCTCACACGTTCTTTCGGATTACTGACCCAAAGAGCGTTCGGCCAGCGGCTAGGCAAGCCTGAAGGAGCGATAGGACTCCGCTCTCTATTGGTTGAGTCTGGATGGGGGCCGGCACGCGGGCTCGGGCGCTCCCGGCATCCCTTGCGGGGCGGTGGCGGCGGCGGGCGAGAAGGAGGGCACGGCGGAGTGCAGGGTGAAGTGGGGAGGGCGGCTGAGAGACCTGAGGGGAAGCCGGGCCGGAGGCCGCCGCCGCCACCATGCAGGAAATCATCGCCAGCGTGGACCACATCAAGTTCGACTTGGAGATCGCCGTGGAGCAGCAGCTCGGGGCGCAGCCGCTGCCCTTTCCTGGCATGGACAGTGAGCACGGGGCCCGGGGGGTGGGCGACGCCGATTCTGATCAGGAGTTCCCTCTGCCCTGAGTCGCGGGAACCTCACCTTCGCTCAGCTCCTCCTCTTCCGTCTTGGGATGTCCCATTGTCAGTGGAACTCGGGAACCCTTTCCTTGGATCCTTGATTCCCCGGGGGCAGCCCTCGGGACAGCAGGACCTTGTCGGTAGTTCGAGTGAACGCGTGTTATCCTGAAATGGGACTCCCCTCTCCCACCCTGCTCCAGCTAGAGCAAAGCCCTAGAACGTCTCCCACTTCCACCTCTTGGAGCGCTCCTTTCTTAACTTCGGTCAGAAGTGGCTGTTGAGTAGACCTTCACTCCAGGCACTCACCTCAGGGTCTCCTGCCCCACCCAACACAGACCCCTGGGGAAACCCTTCTCTCTACTGTCCCTCTTTAAATAATGACTGTTTTCCCATGCTGGTGGGATATCTTTCGTTTGGGGGAGCCTCTCCAGTTCAGATCCGGTCTTTGGCCAGGTCGTTCCTGCATTGACATTATGTCCACTCTTAAAACAGTCGGCGTTTGTTTGACTTAATGGCACTACCTTGAGACCATGGGACAGTATGTGTGAGGCAGCTCTTCTCCACCCTACACCACAGATCCAAAGCCTGTGGAGGCAGGTGCACAGTAGTAAGCCCTTCTTATGCCTCCTTCCTTGGAGAGTCAGGGATGTGCATAACTTGGGTAATTCTCCAGCTTTGTCTTGTGGTTGTGTTGAGTATGCCAAAACCCAGCAAGGCTACAGACCCTCCTTACTGGTTCAGTGGTGATGCTCTTTGAGAAAAAAAAATTCTGCCCCGAAGAATTAGCCATCCTCTCAGTCCCCATGACTGGATTTCTGACCTTAAAGAAGGAGGCAAAACCAACTACGATATAGAAAGAAAGATCACAAATACTCTGAGATGGTATTTTTGTTTGTATTAAGACCGTTTCAGGTAGTCTGATCTGGCCTGGAATTTCTTGTGTAGCCAAGGACGCCGTTGAAGTCCTGATCCTCCTCACACCTTCACTCCCAATTTCTGTAGTACTAGACTGAACCCAGATCTTTGTGTGTACTTCTCAGGCACTCTGCCAACTGAGCTACATCTCCAGCCTTTGTTCTTCCTTATTTATTTTGTTTGTTTTTGTATTTTGAGGCAGTCGGGCTATATAGCCAAGGCTGGCTGAGATCTTCCTGCCTCAGTTTCCTTCTCCTAGGTACTGGGATCACTAGTGTACACCATCATGCCCAGCAGCGTCTTTACCACTTTAACTCTGACCTAGCAGTACCTGCCTGCTTCTGGGAGGCCACTGAATCTCTTGGAAGTTGGCAAGAGGCACTTGAGTGGCTTAAGGAACACCATCTCTGGTTTCTGTTTTTTTAAGTTTGTTTTCTAGAAATGCACGCTGATAGATCAGTGGAAACTGTTTATGAAACCAAGAATTGTTCGTTCAGCAACCGTGGCTGATGAATTTCCAAACTCAACAGAATAGATGGCCCTGGCCCAACTGACTGCCACTACATCCTGACTCTGTAGTTTTACGTAGTTTTACTACCCTCCCAGAGCTGCCTGCACCAGTGGGGATGAAAGGCTGCGCTCCTTTGTAATTCCATGTGGACCTTGCATATTAAGGCCTGGCCTGCTTTTTAGTCTTCACTTGCATTCTACTAGGCACCTGCCTGTTCTGGAATCTGTCCCTGCTTAGAAGCGTCATATACTCATTGTTATTTCCTGTGAGACCATTCATTCCGTCTTAATGTACCTGTAAATTAACTCTCCTAGGAGGTATGAGCTGGGGGTAATTAACATTTCTGTGAGCTTGTGTTCCTTCTTGCCTTTTCCACCCACTCTTAAATATCTTGGAAGCTATGGGCTTTCAAGAAGATCTCAGAAAGAACATCGTGTTTGTTTCCCACCATACAGGTCACATTTCACAGGTTTGGCTTAAACAAGTAGTATTTGCTTTGAGACAGGGTGTGACTCTGTAGCCCTAGCTACAGAGGTCTAGAACTCAGAGATTCATCTGCCTCTGCCTCTTTTTTTGAGACAGGGTTTCCCTGTGTAACAGTCCTAGCTGTCCTGGAACTAACTCTTGTAGACCAGGCTGGCCTCAAACTCACAGGGATTCACCTGCCTCTGCCTCTGCCTCTGCCTCCCGAGTGCTGGGATTAAAGGTGTGTGCCACCATGCCAGTTATGAGCTTTGTAGTTTTTGCCAGCTCACTACACCCTGGATTAGAGATCCTAAGAGCCTCCCATTGGCACCTGGCTTTGGTTGATAACGAGCTCTTTCCTTTTACAGAGTCGGGGGCTGCTGTCTGTGAATTCTTTCTGAAAGCTGCCTGTGGCAAAGGTAAGAAAATCTTGACTTCCTCATGTCCTTCTGAGGTCCCCGACTTTGTCTGCTAGCAGATTTACAGGCCACCAAGTTTGCTTGTGTTGCTTTCTATAGGTAGGTGTCCCTAAATAAAGCTATGGCTTGGATAGGCCAGAAGGATGGTTCTACCCAAAACTTAAACACAGACTGAGCCTGCCTAACTTAAGGGCTGCTTTCTTGTGTCACAACCTTCTCAGACATGGGCATTGGGGACATAGAGGCTTTCAGGAACTTCTCAAGGTTCCAGAATTACGTGTAGCAGCACCCAGTGTTTGAATACAGACTTTTTTTTTTTTTCATAATTCCAGTGTGTACACGCTGTTCTTCAATGGCTTCTTTCTTCTTAGTTGACACTAACCAGACCTCCACAGAGGCTCTGGGAGCCTGGTTATTCATTGATTCATAGGTAATAGTGGGCAGAACCTTATGTGTCATGCATACACCTGGGCATCTTCCTCCCTCTGGAAATTTTTTTAGGAAACTAATTTTAATCATAAACTTAAATAGGGAGCAAGACCCAGAGCAAAGGGATGGTTTGGGTAGGTAAATTGAATGGGAGTCCAGCGAGTTTGGACTCCACAATGCAGTTACTTGCTGCTGAAGCAGAAGGCCTTGGAGGTAGACCAAATAGCTTGACTTTATGGTTTCTGGTCATTGCATCCTGATCTCATTCCCAAATGTTTGCTCAGTTACTGTGCCCTCTGACTCTTAGGTAGCTTGACAGATGTTGGCGGGCTGTTGTTTTTTCTTAAACTTCAATAAAATTGTCCTTGGCTTCCTTTTGAGTCCATTTTTAAATTCCTTTATTAATTAGATTAAGTATTCCCAAAAGGGATTCCCAGTTCCCCAGATAATGTGTCCTGAAATTTCCTAGGAATATGACCACCCATCTTGTGCTGTAAAGCTATCCTTAATTTATGGTACTGTAGCTGTCCCTTAGCTGCTAGCTACATACATGTGCTGACCAATCAAAATCTTTAGGCATAGTTCTTCAGTCACACTGCTGTGAACTCAGATGCTCACCAGTCACACGAGGCTAGTGGCTGCTCTTCTGGATAGTGAAGGTGTAGAGCCTTTCTTTCCATTGTGGCCAAAAGTTCTTCTGGTCAGGGCTGGTCTCATCTTTCTTGGTCACAGCCTTAGTCTCAGCAGACCTGCCGGCAGTTCCAAGTGTGACATCCCCAGAGGATGTTCTGTCCCATCAGGGTAAGACATTACCCTATCCTGCTGCAGAAGGACACTGCTCCTGTTTATGCATGTCATATCCCTTCAGTTATAAAGCTGATATTAATCTTGAGGCATTTTTCATAGGACATGGCCTCCCTGGAGTCTGGGATTCTGCTAATGGCCCTCTTTATCCTGTAAGGCATACTTTTTTACCTGTGTACCACCAGAACTGTTTTTTGTTTAAGAAACCAGCTGACCCACCCCAGACTTCTTATGTATCTGTCTTATGCTAGTGTCTGTGAAATTATGAGATGATATTTTAGTGTTTTGTTGTTTTTGTTTTGAGACATGGTCTCAACGTGTAGGGCTGTTAGGCCTGAAACTTCCTATATGGACCAGGGTGGCCTTAAACTCACAGAGATCCATCTGCCTTTATCTCGCGGGTGCTGGGCTTAAAGGTGTGTGCCATAACACCCTTAGTGTAACTGGAGGTTTCTCTCACACCCTCCAGTTCCCAAGTAACCATTTTGAGGCTTAATATTAATTATAAATGGTTGGTCAATGGCTCAGGCTTATTGCTAACTAGCTCTTACATTTAAATTAACTCATCTTTCTTTGTTGTTGTTGTTGTTGTTGTTGTTTGGTTTGGTTTTTCAAGACAGAGTTTGTTTCTCTGTATAGCTTTGGAGCCTGTCCTGGAACTCACTCTGTAGATCAGATTTCAAACTCAGAGATCCACCTGCCTCTGCCTCCCCAGTGCTAAGATTAAAGGCATGTGCCACCACTGCCTGGCAGGCTTTTCGAGACAGGGTTTCTCCATAGCTTTTGGTTCCTGTCCTGGAACTAGCTCTTGTAGACCAGGCTGGCCTCGAACTCAAGAGATCTGCCTGCCTCTGCCTCCCGAGTGCTGGGATTAAAGGCGTGCGCCACCACCGCCTGGCCCACTCAGGCTTAGTATTACTTAAAAATGCTTGGCCAGTGACTCAGACTTATTAGCTAGCTCTTACATTTAAACTAACCCATTTTTAAATCTATGCTTTGTCACGTGGTTCTTGGCTTGTTACCTATTTTTTTACA